GAAGAACCTAACCAACAATGCAAAGATGCAAGGAAAATATGACCAGCAACACTGAAAGGAAAAGAAATCAACAGAGACAAGAGGGAAGGGGGGGCAGGGAAAGGGAAGGGAAGGGGAAAGTCAGGGAACATATAGCAAGGACTCATGGACAAAACCAAAGGGGAAGAGCTGAGGGAGGGAAGGTGGGAAGGGGGCAAGGGAAAGAGGTTGGGGGGGTAGGCAGAGACAAATGGATTTAAAAAGTAAATAAATTTTAAAAAAATAATAAAAATGTGGAAAGGAAAAAAAACAAAAAAATACCCAACAAAATCTCAAACACTTACGATTGTTTATGACACACTAACTACAGCTTAAGGTTTCATTTCCAGTTTTTTTTATAATGCGAGTGTATTCACAAAATAGTGTGTTCCAGAATTAATTAGGCTAGTTATTTCATTTATCTTTATCATCCAATTATGTTTTTATTTTGAAATATAGTCAGGTTTGTTTTCTTTATTCTGTTTTGCTTTATGCACTACCTCTTTTATTTTGTGTGTGTGGCAAAAGACAACATGGTCAAAACTATACAAATAATTATACTCATCTCCTCATATCTTCTATCCCTCCTTCTGTATATAAACTTTCTTATTAGTTTCTGATTCATGCTTCCTATGTTTATTTCTGCTCAAATGGGTGACATATGTATATTTTATTTCTCCTTTATTTTGCAAAAAAATGTGGCATGCTATAATTGCTCTTTTACATGTTGCTTTTTTTTCATTTAACAATATATCCTGATATTGCTCCATATTGATTCACAGATATTTTTGTGCTTCTTTTTCTGCAATTGCAAAATACTCAATTGCACTGATGTTCTGTAGAATTTCCTTCAGGGGTCCTAGAATGAGATATTGGTTATGAGTCTTCTAACTGTCACTGAATAGTGTACCTCACATGGCCATAATGGTCAATTTCATGTTTTGTAAAATAAACTACAATTAAACTAGGAAAGAGAAGGTAGTAATTTCTGCATAAAGCACAGAAAAGAATGATAGAATAATAATAATTTATGAATAATAAGAGAACGATTAAATAACAAAATATATATTTAATCAAAAGAAAGAGAGACTCGATGTGAAACAGATGTCTCAAGAGAAACCTAGTAAAGCAGAAAATATAAATTAAAATATGATTACATTAGATGTCAATTGATAATATTCTCCAGAAATATAATAATTGTTGCTATATATAAGAAGAGCAAAATCTAACTTTACACTGTTAACAACAAGTACCTTACAGATGTAAGGCCATAAAAAGTTTAAAGTGATAGAAAAGAAATACCATGTAAATACGAACCACAAGAAAGTGGAACCCTTATTACCTCTGCTACACTACTATGCCTGTCTCTATTTCTATCTCTGTTTATAGAGATATCTAAAGACAAGATATAAAGTATACTTATTTCTAGAAATATTTCTGAAGTATAAATAAAGTCATGTGCTGTTCAATACAAAAAAAAATCTACTTAAAGAGTTTGAAAACCACTAGCTAAAAACAGTGACTCCTAGAATATTCCTATGTGAATGTAACTGCTACTCAGCTGAAATAACACATTAATAGTCTGTCATCTGATTTGTGTTAAACTAATTCCAATTCTCAGAGTTAACTCAAAGACCTAGAACCATTCATAATATATTTTTTAAAGAAAACAAGCATGGAAAATGAGTTTCATCAGCTAACATTTACAATTTTACAAGTTTTCACCATATAGATGAGATAGTATACAGTGTGTTTTTACACTTCAGTTAACATTCTTCTGACTCTGAAATAGACATGTCATTTTTATGGCCACGTAGCATATAAAAACCATTCCTCTTTTTGCAGAATGTTGTATTTTAGGAGTCTGCTTCCCATTTAAAAAGTGAAAATTCTAGATACTTGCTTTCCTAGGTTAACTTAAATTTTTATTGTGTTGGCACACATGTCTTCCCTGAGTGGCAAACTAATGCCAAGAAGAATTGGGGATGTCGCAGAGTCCATTCTGATGATGGGTAATGGTGGAGACAGCAGTGGCAGAGGGGCTAAAGGCAGTGACATTAGTATCCAGCGCTACTGGTATAGACAGTAGAAGCTGCAGTAACTCAAGTGCCCAAGAATCACAATATTGAATTCCCAAGACTAGTTCCGCAGTTTAATTTTGAACATTATTCTTGGCTGTGTAGGCTCTGAAGATGTTCTGAAATTTAACTAGTTCACAGCAATTCTGAAAAGATAATTCTATGAACTAGGTACATTTCTTTTCTGCAGCTATCAACCAGAATTAGTTGCTGATGCTTCCAACAACAGCCTTGATAGAAAGTCATTTATAATTTTAACTATAATTGGAGCAATTATTTATGAGCAGGTACCACACTAGTGACTCTCAAATTAAAACTAATATGGCCATTTAGATATCTCCTTATTTAGCCTGTGAATCATCCTATATTCTAACTTCTTAATGTACTGGACAACCTGAGAGATTATTACAATTTATTCCCTCTTTCCCCCATTACTTTATTCCTATGTGACAGGAGAGTAACCTGATTGAACTAATATAATTACAACTTGAAAAACAAATAATACAGTGTTTTGGGATTATGAATCCAAGAGGACCATAAATTGATGACGGGATAAAAGTCAGTAGAGCATGAATCCTGGTTCTAAGTGGGGTTACAAATTCTCTCTAAAACAGGTTAAGTACATTTCTAGAAGGCTGAGCCCAAAGCATGAAGCAATGGGTCACCATTGCTTATCTCCTTATCCTTTTGGCCTAACTATGGTATACATATGACATAGACCAAAACATAGCCTCCTCTCTACTGCACAATGAAGCAAATGAAACCTATAGCATACCAGAAATATGTCATAGGGAATAGAGCTACTGAATATATTTAAGTAAAAATAAAAGTGAACTTATTAGCTTACTTTTTAAAGAAGATTATATTAATAGTGCACAAGGGATATGAAAATGGTAAAAGCCATGAGAATGATACACAACTGACTTAGTTTGGGAAACACATCTCTGTAGAATTTAAACTGTTGGCCCTCCAGGGCAGTTACTTGTCAGAAGGCTATTGACAAAGCTAGATTGGAAGACCATAAATGATGACCCCTGACCACACTCTAAGATCACCACTTCCATTAGTCATCAATCTGGACTTCGAGACCTTTGGAAATATAAATCCAAGAGTCTTTTACATGTTATACACTTACTGTTTACTATGTTTCAGGCACAGGTAGTAATTTATTTAGAAATGTTAATAACAGTCCCTGTTGGAGCTTTGGTTGCCCACACCCAAAATGCCTTCTGCCCATTCAGATTTTCCCTCTTAAGCCATGGCTTATTTGGGTTTTTTGAATTAGAGTGTCACTACAGAAGTTAGCTATGGAGTGAATGGCTGAAATTCATGCTCATTGAAGGGCTGACATGTCTGTTTTATGGCAGATACAAGCTGAGAGAAAGAAGACGATTCCAAGACATTGAAAGAAATATATAGAGCTGATGGAGTCAAATGATAAAAGGAAAAGTCATATGGCCTCTGACAGAAAAGAGAGAACATCAGTTCTTGACATCTCCCCAGATCATATGAAACTTGATCGGACTTCATTTTTGTCTTTGGACTCAACAGGACAAGTCCATTTATAAAATGTCCACCCACTCACACCCCTGACACATGTACTTTTTATTTTTCTCAAGACACATTGGAAAGGTTTTAATTTCTTGAAAACCAGAGTCCTGACTAGGATACAAATAAAAAGATAATAAGTGCAATAGAGACATGGGGTAAATAAGAGGCATCAAGGAAGGAATAAAGAAACTAGGACATTTGATCACTGAGTTACTGTAAAGCTATTCAGAATAGATAAAGGTTTTTTAAAATGAGCTTTCAAAGTTTCTTTTTCTTGACTTTTCTCATATTCTCCAGCAACCCAATCATTTGTATCAAACTCTGGTGTCTTCATATGAAGGATTTTCTTTCAACCCATGTAACAAAAGTCATTTGTATGGATTTCAGAAAACGAACTTTTATTTCCTTTTCTCAAAGTCCTTTTTATTCATCTTCCTCCTCCTCCTTCTTCCACTTCCACCCAAGACACACTCACACACATAATCCAGCATAAGTTAATAGTTGACATACATCCAATTATTTGACTTAATTAAAACCAAACTACTACATATATGTATTTGGAAAAAGCAATTATTTGCTTAAACTTCCCTTAGCTACATTCTCTTATGTTCCAATTCTAATTAATAAAAAAGGTATGTTGACAGTCTTTTAAAGTGGCATACCTGCCTATGCCTGTGTAATAGTCATGATGCTCACCCTCACTTATCTTTTTCAAGTAAAAGCAATTCAAGTGCTAAGCCTCTTATTCTTGGTGATGTTGGGTGCTTTTTTACATCCTTCTTCTAATAAGAATAATCAATAATTTTAGAATCGATTGACCTATGAACCTCTTGGGAGGATGCCATCAGTTTCTTCCACTATGTCTGCATAAAAAGAATAGCAATAACAGTTTACAAAGTATCTTCACATTTACTGTAGGGCACTCCAGTTCAAAATAAGTATACATGGGGCTTTCCTTAGGAGAGGACAGGTAACAAGGTATGTAAGCAATTCCAAGATATTGTGCTGAGAACTAGTTTGGAAACTCTGGCTTAGCATTTCTCAACTAACTAAATCATGTGAGTTTATCCAACTGCATTCACTCAACAAATACATCTCTATTTATAGTGATATGCACGTGCATATGCTTATATATTGAATACCTTTCCTGAAATGGCATCCAACTCTACAATCCAAGGTAGGTTGGAAGCCAGACAGAATGGAATGTGTAAGAAGAAATTTTCCAAAATAGGTTCAACTGGTTATGGTGAAGGGAATGACATTGTCCAAGATTTAATAGATCCAAAATTAACATGTTTATTTCTAAAAGGGATAGTTGGCACAAGAACAGAGACAGGAGAGAAAGTTGGCTGTTTTGTATTTTCTTGGTGATTTTCTTTAAAGTATCACTCCCGGCAGAAAACATATTCAGTGTAAGAAGTCCAGATCTTGTCATCTGTTTGGTCATGGGTGATAGTGCAGGTGCCAGAGGAGTTGCATGCAACCATGTGAAAGCCAGCATCAGCTAATTTATCAAAGGCTTGTTCCAGAAAGGTAAATTTGAGGTAATATCGAGAAGTGTACCTCTCAGGGGGACGATCAGGATCTCTGCTCTCATTTAGAGTATCTCCAAATACTTCTTTGGCCAATGAGATCTTACCACACACCATGATTCGGGCCACGCGGCGGAATTTGGCATCTGCTTGGCTATCCCTACCCAGAGTATAGGAGCTTCGATAGCCAATTGTGATGAAACCTGCCTTCTTGAGGTCAGAACCAGTATTTGCACTCAGAACTGAGGAGTTATCAGGGCTGCTAACTTGGATGTTATTACTTGAAAAGAGATTGCATGTGATGTCAATGTTGGAGGAAAGCTCTTCTAGATCACTTTGGCATAAATCATTGCCAAATGACTTTATCTTATTGATTTTGGGAGCCAGCATCTTCACTAACTCTGGTAGCTTGAAGTATTCTGCTTCTCTCTGGAGCCGACCACACTCTGGAAAGTGGTCAGGAAGCACTAGTTTCCGGTCTCTCATGTAGTCTAGCACATAACGAAAGAGGAAACCATCTCGGTCTACAAAGAATCTCCCTTTGTTGTCCTGGATTAGGTAGCAAGGATTCTTTTCACTGAACATTTCCCAGAGCAGGGAGCCAGGAACACTGACCAAAGTAAGATAGCGAGTGATGTACACCTGACCACCCACGTTCAGTTCAATAATCTCGGGGAAATGACTGAAATCCTCATTTGGTTTAGCACAACTTGATTTCTCTGGCATGGCCATATTGATCTGCAGAAGCAAAAGACATTGGTTCTAAGTTAAGGTTTAGAGTATGGGGATTCTATTTATAAACATAAATTTTTTCCACTCATAAACACTACTTACCAAGAAAATCAAGCAAATCATAACCTTTTGCAAATTATTTTTAACATGAGAATGGAAGAATAGAAAAATCATACATAATTTGGCTTTGCAATTATATTTTTAATGTCCTTCTGAATCTTAGGTGAATCAAATAATCACAATCTTCAGCTCATGCTATGTTATCACAGTCCATGCAGGACCTTCTTTTCTTGTGGTGTTTATTTGTTTTGTTTATTCTATTTTACTTTCACAGTCCATTCTTTTCAATATATATTCAGCATATACGTATTCTTGAAAAATGGATTTTATTGTTTCAAATGGATGTATATGTTATTGTATTATATATTTCAGTCTTCATATATATATATATATATATATTTATATATTTTTCACTCCCAGCACTATATTGTTCAAATTTCTTCATGTGGCTATGTGTATACACCTAATTTCCTGCTTCTGATTGTGACATAATACTTTGTGGTATGCACTTACTATGTTTTACTATCCACTCTCCCAATGACTGACACTCAGATTGCCTCTAACTCCCTGCTGCAATTTATGCTCCTGTTTATGTTTCCTATGAACCTCTGAGAGAAAATCTTTAAGCTATATATCCAGCAGTGGTATTTCTGAGACATACTGTATGCATATACATAACTTGACTAAATATTGACATATTGCTCTCTAAAGTGTCCCTTTTCTGCATTCCTACTTAATCCTCAAATCCCCACCACTACTTGGCATTATATAATTTCTAAATTTCTGCTACTCTACTGCATATAGATTGATATCTCATTGCAGTATGAGAACATTAGTTATAAAATATTTAGGCAACTATTGTAAGACCATAACTAGTACCTTCTTACTGTCCACTGTTTCCAACATAAAACATGGTGTGCTCATCACCTTTCTTTATTCTTCGTTCTTCTTTATCTGTACATAAGTCAACATTATTGTCTATATTAGACTTTGCTGAACCTCTTCCTACCTCATGGTCCAGTTCCAATTTCATCTCTGCCACTGGCTTCTCTCCTCAAACCATCCTAAACTGTGATTATGCCAGCTCCAGAACTGTGTGTTTTTTGCTCTCTAACCTCTCTCTCAGAGAAGTAATCCTCTTAAGCTTTTCCAACTATTACATTTACATATATGATTACTAATTCCTAGCCTATTTCCTAAACTTCAGTTTGCTATTGGCAACTACTTGCTGAGTACACCAGCAGTAGCTTGAATTCAGCATTTTCCAAAACACACACATGTATGAGAAAGTGTTTTGTAAAATCTAAGTTATAACTATTTTGCTTTTATTTTTCCAGCCTAAACAGGTCACATTTTATGACTTTTTCTTGTCAGTAATATCACAATTTTCCCAGTCATTCAACCTGGAGATATAGAAACTTCAAAGTCATCTTCACTGACCTACTCATCTACCTTCAGTGTATTCCTCATTAACATAGAAATTATTCCTTTATGATGTCTCTTGCATACACATTATTATCACCACTTCATCTGTTGTTCACTGTACACTAACTGATTGAACATCCAAATTGATCTGTCCATCTCTACTTGAGATCCATCCACATCTACCCTACACCCTGCCCTGACCTCCAGATAACTCCTATGTGCTATTACCAGCTCAAATGTTATAACTTTCTTCTCTGTTTAAAAATTGTCAGTGATTCCACTTTGCCTAAGGGTCAAATCTAGAACCCTTACTGTGGAACTCAAACCCATCTATAAACTAGTTATTTTCTCTCTTTAATGATAAGAACACCTAGCACTACATAGGACTTATTATGTGCCAGGCATTGTTATTAGCCCTAAAATGGGTACAAACATTATGCTCATTTTGCCAATGAAAAAACTGATAGCTTGCCCAATGTGAAACTAATAAATGTCTGAAGTGGTATTCAAACTCAAGCAGTAGGATTCTGATGTTCATGTACTTAATTGATTGTATCTTACAAGACTTCTTTCCATATACAAAAATGGTGTAGGTATTATTGCTTGCCCATGACATGTTGCCTTTGCCCATACCTTCCCCCTTCTGGAAAACATTATTCCACTTCCTTGACATCAAGGACCAATTCAAGTCTAAATAAGATTAACCTCTTCCTTTCATTTCTATAGAAATCTTTTTCTTTTTAAAATATGTTTGTTTGTTTATTTATTTATTTTTAGACAGAGGGGAAGGGGGGAGAAAGAAAGGGAAAGAAACATCAATGTGTGGTTGCCTCTCATGTGCCCCTTACTAGAGACCTGGCCTGCAACCTAGGCATGTGCCCTGACTGGGAATCAAACTGTGACTCTTTGGTTCACAGCCAGTGTTCAATCCACTGAGTCATACCAACCAGGGCTAGAAATCTTTTTCTTGAAAGTTTCATTTTATTTTTTACTCTTTGGTTCCCTACTCTATTTCATAATATAATAAAAGTAGTAGTGGTAAAATAATAACAGTAACTTAAATTTATGAAGCACATATATGCCAATCATTTTTGGATCTCTTTTAATATGATGATTCAATTAATACTTCTAACAATCCGATGAAGTAAATACTACTGCAATCCTCATTTCTCAAAGGAATAAGCAGATGCACAGTTCATTATAATTCCTCATACAGACTAGTGTTTTTAGTTTCCACATACTAATCTACCCTTCACACTATAACTAGAATTATATTTCTCAAATGTAAATCAATTATGGCCTTCCTTGAATAAACACTGTCAAAGGTTTCTCAAAGTCTAGAGACTGAAGTTCAAACATATTAAATACAGTATATGAAAAATTCCACACTGGTCTTTGCCTTGTTCTTGGGTTTTGATTCCAACTATCTTTCTTGTTGGTACTCCCAAAATGACTGCAAACTTTAGTTACTGAATCTAAACCTAGTTCACCAGACTCATCCACTTTTTCATGTCTATATTGCTTTAACTTAGGATTCTTTCTGCCCAAAATGTCCTCTTTTACTCTTTCTACCCCAACTTCCTTGTGGCTTCTTGATAAATATTATAACATAGTAGTTTAGAAAGGTCTGAGTTTCAGTCCCACCTCTGCCACTTATTAGCGGGGTTAATTTGGACAAATTACTTATTCTCTTTGAACCTCAGTTTTTTTAATCCAGAAAGTAGATATAACAAAAGATTTATAAGATGAGGAGGGAATTATATATAATGTATATAAAGTACTTAACACAATGCCTGTCATAGGACGTGCTTAATGGATGTTTGGTTACATTGGCTCCTTTAGCTTAACTTGGGACATTCAGTGAAAGATGGCAATCCACCAGTTGATTATGGTGCTAGATGGTGATAGAAGTCTTATAGTGATCCATTAAGATTCTGAAAAAATAAAACATCCTCTTGAACTGCCACCTCAACCTTTGATATTCTTTATTATTGTTTCAGATTGGGAATATATCTTAGAGCACTTATCATATAGTACACCGTAATTGTGTATATGGTTATTCCAAATAAGCCCTGAAATACATAGTAATATTGAGCTGATAATCTCTGGATCCCCAGCACTGTGAGCCTAGCAAGTAGTAAACTTATACTAAGCAATTAGTGAATGATGAGTAAACCACCACCAAGCAAATGTAATATCAGTTTCATTACTTTCACAACCCCACATATAAGTAGAAATACATTCACAGAAATTCATTTTGAATACATGTGTGAGTATATAAACAAGAAATATAAATATACTAGATTTTGTAGATTTCTGAGTGCAAAAAAAGCTGTTATATATTCTCTCTAACAACAATAATAAAGGTCAAAGATAGTTGTTCTCCATTGTACAAAAAGATCATTTTATAACACAATTAAGCCGGTGAAAAATAGTAGTGCAATGTTGATACCTTGTTGTTTCAGGTTTTTCTTTCTTAATGTTTTAAAGTTACTTCCTTTGCTCAAGTCAACTGATGGTTTAAAATCATATGAGCCAGTGTCACATTCAGCTTGAGAGGTGAAGGTGGGTAGTCTATATTGCTGTTAGAATAGAATTTTTAGTTAAATCCTAAGAGCAGTACCTTTATTTCTGTAGGAAGAAGTCAAAAGGGGAAAATGTAGGACTAGAACTGCAGAATATCCTTATCTTCCATGTGTCCCTATGGTACAACCACCACCATACTAGAAATTTTACTTTGAAAGTTATTCATAAGACTACTCCTCATAACTAGGAATTTCAAGTTATTTTAAATAAATAAAAATGGAAGTAGTTTTCCCAATAACAAAAAATGAGGTCAGGAAGGACATTTCCTAAACAGAAACATTTATTTGTTTTGTATTTATTTGTAATATAAAAATATCTTTTGCATATAAAATTCTTTAGATATGCACCCTTCCCCCCTTCTCCATGCCAGGGTTTCCTGTTCAGCCAGCTTGTTCAAGAGGAAGCAAAAAAAAAAAATCTATTCAATCTAACCATGCTTGGTTTTTTTAATTGCTTGTTTGGGATATAACGCTATAATGTCTCATTTTTTTTTCTTCTGTACAGGCTGAAAAGGGCTTGAGATTAGCTGTCCTAGTAAATCAAATAAATAAAGGCCTCTGCAAGGAAGAAGTTAAAAGAGACAACGTGAAATGTAAATAGTTTAAATCAGAAAATAAAATGTTCAACCCAACTGTATGCTGCAAGCCTGGGAGAGCTGAAACTCCACATTTCAATGTTTCAAAATCATTGGAGAAAGTAGTTAGTGCATCACTTGCTTTCTGTAGTCAAAGAATCCTGCAACCAAGATGCAGTATTTTTAAAAGAAAAACAAAGTCAGATGTATCAAAACCCCTGATGTATACCTAAAAATGACATGGAAGCATTTACTAAGGAAATCAGACAGTTTATAAATGACCAATTCCCAATTTTATTAAACCTGATATCTTTGTGTCCTAATACCTCTCTTCTCTCTCCCTCTCATTCCCTCC